CAGCACTATCAAGCTATCAACAGCCACAGCAGCATGAGTTTGACCCCTGGTTGGGGAGCTAACTCACATGGCGCTACAGACCTCTCCTGTCACGCTAGCTGCTCCCCTCAGCTGTGTATTTCAGTAGATCTGCCTGTTCTGCTCCCCACTCTGTCTCTGGCGAATTTTCTCACCCCCTGCACTTCTGGGCTAGACCCCAGTTCTCATATGCATAAATAAATCAAAATAAATCTTAAAAAAATGAACTAACCACTTATATTAGTTTTTATTGCAACTAGAAATAAACTGCTACAAACTTAGTAGCTTAAATAATATAAATATATTATCTTACAGTTCTAGAGGGCAGAAATCTGAGATGGGACTCACAGGGCTAAAGACAAGACCTTTCTGGAGGTCCTCAGGAGAATCCACTTCCTTGTCTCTTTCACTATGCAGATGCCATCCACACTCCTTGGCTCATGTGCCCTTCCTCCATCTTCAAGGCCAGCAATAGTGCTGTGAATCCTTCTCACAACACCATTTCCCTGACCTCACCTGCCTTCTTTTAGTTTAAAGGAATTTTGTGATTACAGTAGAATAACTCACGATAATTCATGAATTAGAATAATTCATGATAATCTCATTTTAAGTTTACATGATTAGCAAATTTTAATTCCATCTGCAACCTAAATTCCCCTTTGCCATGTAACAGCATATTTACAGGTTCCAAAGATTAGGATTGGACATTTTGATGGGCCATTATCCTGCCCACCATACCATCCTACCTCTTTCTTCCAAATCACAGTAATACTGGGAGGATAAATGAGCTAGTAAATGTATATAGTAATCATAACTATCACCTTATTCCACAAAAAATGGAGTGCTTACTATGTGCCAGGCACTCTGTTACATAGTAGGGGGCTGTGACTACACTGACAAGATCTCTATTATATTCCCATAGGGGTGGACAATCAATTGATCTATAGATTGGTAGATCAGCAAATCAGTGGATTTAAAATAAATCCATTTATTGGATTCTAGATGTCATTAGAAGAGTAATATCAGCTAGTGATAAGTGCACAATGAAGAGTAAATAGCGTGACTTGGATGGCTACTTTCTAGTGCGTAATCAAGGAAGGCTTCTTGGATAGGGTGGCATTTAGACAGATCAGAATGGTAAGAAGTGCTCCCAATGGCAATAACTGAAGCAGAAATAAGTCTGTGAAGAATCCAGAGCAGGAACCCTATTGTAGGAAGAGCATTGAGGATCTGGCATTTCACCCAGGAGGCAATTGAGGCATAGCATAAAGGGTCTACAGACTTTAAGAGCCAAAGGCATTTTTTAAATCTTTTTTTAAAAATGATTGGTTCCAAGGTACCAAAAGAAAACCACAAAATTGAAATGAATAAATATTTAATTGGCATATTCATACTTATTGATTATTAAATGTAATAGTCATAAAATATTCATTACATTTGTGAACACTTTGTAGGTTAAATTTTTTTTCACCTCCTTCAAACTCCCAAGTAGGCAGAGTTCTAAGAAATCAGAGTCAATCATAAGGGAGTTTATTACAGCCAAATATTTGTAAAAGCATAAATAAAGGCTTAAAAAATAATTTAGACCAAAAATAAGTATTTTGTGTGGAAAATAGGAGCATTTAAATATATTTGACAAGATGTCAGGTAGGGCTTCCAGAAAGAGGAGCTCTGAGGGCATATAAAAATCTTCCCTAGATCCAAGGCAGTTGGTAAGGCCATGAAGAAAGCCTGCTCTCTCCAAACTGCCCAAACTCTGGGCTGCCTCTCCAGCCAGCACAAATGGAGGAAGCCTCCTCTGTCGGTTGAACCCAGTCTTCTCCAATAACCTCCTTAGAGGTGGGTAATGACTCGACCATTACCCATCCCCTTTTTTGGCACTGGAGGCAAAATCTCCTGGAAACCAAGACTAATTGATGTCAGTAGGTGAAACATTTTCAAGATCAAACCCAATAATCTCCCACAGATGTGAAAGTGAAATAAGCTTAACACCCCCATGGTAACATGTGCCCATACTGCTGGCTCCTGTTTCTCACTGCTTGTGTCCTGCGGTCTGCAGTGGGCTGGTTGGATGTAAGTATGAACACTATTGATGGCTGAAGCTGATAATCCAAGAAGTGTGCCAGTCAACTCAGGGGAAAAACTCGAGGAAAAGCAAAAGCTAAAATATGGACTCAAGACAATTTCCAGGCTGCCTGGATGAGGCTGAGGTCACAAGGAAATGGACAACGTGGAGCCCACAGTCCTGGTGGGTGGGGAGAATGTGAGCATATGAAAAACACTGCAAAGCAATATCCCTCTGAGGACCAGATAATCGGATACAGAAGGGAGAGTGGAACAGAACAATGGAGTGAGCCCAAAGGAGTGAGTCCAAGAAAATCTTGCTAACTAGGGAGGACTTCCAAGGAGACTCAAGAGTAGTGTAGTGGGAGATGGAGGTTCAGGGAGGCACCTGTGCAGTAACCAGAAAATGCACAGCTCCCCACATTCTTAGTATTTCCTGAGTTCCATGAATTCCTAACTTTGGGTTCATTTATTGCATATCAGTAAGAATTACCTCCTACCATCTTCGATTTCTACTCTTCTGCACTCTTGTCCATGTATAAATTTTATATAGTGAAAATATATGCACAAACACAATTTTTCTTTCAATTAGAGTACTATCATGATCATTTTCTATATATCAATATATCTAGCATTAATCATAATTTCAAAAAAAAAATAGGTGCACCAAGGTTTTATTCAGCCTTCCTCTATCATTCACTGCATGGATAGGTTTATCTAATTCTTGGCTATTGGAGGTAATATTACCTTTTCTTAAAGCATGTGGCTTGTCCCCCCTTTTCACATAATTTCCCAAACAGGGATGAAAAGAAAGTGATACATTGCTTTTCAAAAACATTGTACAAATATTACAAATATACACTCCTGCCAACAGAATATTAGGGCATAAAACAGGACCAGTTTGGGATTTGATTCTTGATTCTTGTGTTAACTTCGTACCTTCTGAAAAGAATTATTTATACATTGCATTGATATGACAAGATCTCCAAGATATACTGACCAAAGAAAAAAATGTGTAGAGGGCCTCCCTAGAGGCACAAGCGGTTAAGTCTCAGTACTATGAAGCAATCCAGCCACTGCGGCATCGGTTGGATCCCCAGCCGGGGAGGTGACCCACATGGCGCAGCAGACCTCTCCTGTCTCACCCATTGCTCCCCTCAGCAGTGTATTTCAGTAGCTCCTCCTGTTCTGGTCCCCACTCTGTCTCTGATGAATCCTCTCACAACCCCGCACCTCTGGCCTGCACCCCAGCTCTTGTGTGCATAAATAAATAAATATTTTTTAAAAATGTGTAGAGCAGCACATGTTTGAGTGCTACTATCTATGCGGTGTAGGTGTGTAGATGTATGTGTGTTTAATCACATTTCCCATACAAATGAATGAAACATTGTTGGAGTAAATAAACAATTAATAATGTTAGTCCTGGGGAGATAGAGATGTGGAGTTGGAATAAGACATTTTTCATCATGTACCATCTGGTACTTTCCAAATGTTTTTGTTATTTTCATTATAATTTAAATTTGATTAGGAAAATGGAAAAAGAACATACATGCATCTGAAGACAAGCCCATTGCAGTGGTTAAAATTCTTGCACTGCCATCAACTAGTAGTGTGATCCGAGTTCCTTAACTTTCAGTTTTCTAAAAGGTTTCTCTTCTGAAAAATGAAGATTAGTGTCAAAGTGTCTTAGTGCCAGGACTAAATACAAAAATGTAATGAAGGCTCCAGACTGGCCACTTCGGTTTTCGTGCAATCATTTTTTTTTCTACATGCAATATGGACAAGTCTGGCAAGTGCTAGTTGTCAGGAAGAAAACAAAGTGGAATAAAAATATCTCTGTATTTTGAGAAGTAACAGCAATCCACTCCTTTTGTCCCATATCAATTACTCCTTGTCCAAACAAACAGGAAAAATGGCATTGCTTCTGAAGAGACATTAATGGGGAAATATCAGAGGTAAATTATTAATTCTTACCCAAATAAAGTAAATTATAAATATTAATTCGATAAAAGCCAGTGATGGGTGAGAGTCCCCCTGCCATCATGTGCGTAAACAGCCTGGAGTACATGCTTCAGTGGGAATGTTGACAGCACTACCCGCTGCCAGCAGCACTTGGCTGCATTCTTCCTGACCTCCTTCGACAGCCAGAAAGAATGACATGTTATTTTTGCAAGTCCTTCTAGGCATCTAGAATAAGAATATATAACTCTACCTAGTCCATATTACACCAAAATTGTTTATGTATGGAGGAATCCAGGAATGGATGAACAAATGATTTGCTGTGGGATACGTCAAAGGAAAAAGCAGGAATGTGTTCACATCTAATTTTACACCTGGTGGCACTAACAGCTTTGTTTTCCTCCCAATCCCTTTTTTTTTTAATTATTTTTTTTTCTTACTTCATTGTAGTCCCCATCATTCTCCCATACCATATCACCCGTGAACCATCAACATATTTCCTTGGGATCTTCCCTCTCCTGTTTTGATCCCTCCCCTAACCCTCCCTTGCTATATGCCTCAGATCTATGGTCAGCTTGCTGGTTTTGGCTTTTTCTTAACCTTTTGTTTGGTTTCTCTATATTCCACATATAAGTGAGACTATTCAATATTTATCTTTTTCCTTCTGACTTATTTTGGCTAGCAAAATCCCTTCCTGTTCCATCCATGTTGCCACAAATGGCATGAGTTTGTTTTTTGATTGCTGAGTAATATTCCATTGTGTAAAAATATCACAACTTTTTGATCCATTCATCTATTTGGGGGCATTTGGGTTGTTACCATATCTTGGCTATTGTAAAACCTGCACTCCTTTGTTGATTGCAGCACTATGTACAGTACCCATTCCTTTTTTGAAAACTATTCCTCCCACCCTCCCCCTTTGAGAGCCATACCCACCTGCAGTGAGTGCCTCTACATACCTTACTGGTCACATTTATTTCTTGCCACGGGATTAGCAGCACTGGAACCACAGGGCCATGACTCTACTTTCATTCAAGGGGCACGGTAGTGCTCTCCTCCTGCAACAGAGACACACTCGTAGTAGAGGCCCTACCCACAGTCAGGGCTGCAAAGGGCAGTTTCATTTTGGTTAAAGCTGTGGTCCAGAGTGTGAGCCACCTTAGCCACAGTTTTTAGTAAATGCCATAATATTTTGGTTTTATATTAAAAGACACGGTTATTTGAATCAGTAGGAAAAAGAGCTATCCATGCTCTTTCTTTTACCTATATTGCTACTTTGCAAAAAAAAGAGAGGGACAATATATGTAATTCCATTTAACCTATGTGAATATAAACTGGTGAAAGAGTTCCCCACAGATTTCTAAATGTACAGAACTCTTTAAAAAAAAAAAAAAAAAAAAAAAAAGATTTATTTATTTATTTATACAAGCACTGGGTACAGTCAGAAGTGCGGGAGAGTGAGAGAATTCACCAGAGACAGAGCAGGGAACAGAACAGGCAGACTGACAAAATACACTGCTGAGGGGAGCAGTGGGCGTGGCAGGAGAGATCTGTCGTGCCATGTGGGACCCTTGCCCGGTGGCCAGGGATCAAACTGGTGCTGCAGAGGCTGCGGGCAGCTTCCCAACCCAGCACTCAACCACTGCGCCACCCGGGGAGGCCCTAAATGTACAGAACTCTTTGACCCACAGTCCCACATCTAGAAATTTATCCAAAAAAAAAATCACAGATGTACATATAGATATGAATGTCCACCGTTTCCCTCCCATTCAGGTGAGCTGAGTCTCCAACAGACCTCAGGGGAGGAAAGGAGTGAATTGGACTTAAAAATTGGAAAATTCACATTACCTAGGGACTTCACAAACATTTACAAAGTAAAAATTGGCAGTCTGGCTGTTCCCCTGCAGAAATGGTTTGGTTTCATCTGGATAGTCCAGGATTCTGACTGTAGTAACAACCAAACAACTCTACTGCTGACCAAAATGCTATCACCAAATCTATACACCAATACTCACTCCCCTTTCTCTTGTTCTCAGCAAAGAATTAAAATTCTTACTCACCTTGTCCTTTTCTGAAGTATGAAAGATTAAAGGAGATTAAGTGTCTCTCCATTTCAATGTGTTCCCTCTCAGTTGCCAAAAGAAATGGTTTTCTTCCTTTTTGAAAATTAATCATCAATCACCAGCACTTATGACACACTTTCTGAGCAAGCTAGACACCTAGCAAGGTGGGCAGCCTTTGAGGGTGAATTAAGCAAGGAGGTGATTTCCTGGCCATAGAATTGTTCCAATCCTCCTTAGGGGAGAGCAGTTCCAGTACCTCTGACTCCAAACCACATCCGGTTCTGAGCTATGGCCCAATACTGTGACGAATCCATGGCAGAATCACTGTTATGGAGGCAGGGACTACTATTTGGAAATGGTCCTGCCAAACACCTGGGAAAGTTCCACTTCACAGCTGGACAAAGAGATGCCTTTCAAAGCAGCAAGTTTAATGAGTTTCTGTGTTTGCTGAATACTTCTTTCTTTCTTTACTGAGAAGCTAAGACACGCTGTCTCAGGAATCTGCACATCACACATTAAGCCTGGCTTTACTGGTAAAAATGTTTGAAGCAGAAATTGTCCTGGGCTTCATATTTATGTAGCTCATTCACATATTTTACTCACTGCTGCTCTTTATAGGCCTTGCTTGCTTGCTCATCTATTTACCTCCAACATTCACCAAGAGTCCACAGGAATGTTTTTGAGATTAGGTCTATGTGAAATGGAGTGAAGAAATTAAGCATTATCCAGAGAGTAAAGCTTAAAGGGGGTGTTTACATGTGACATTTTAGGAAAGAAAGTTAAAATATAGAATTTTCTCATTATGGTGATTTCTCCAACTTTTTACATTGCCAGTAGAGACTGTACTCATGATGGTCAAAATGTCGCCAAGAAAAGTGAAACACCCATAGAAAAGTTAATTTTCAAACTGAAGATATTTAAAAGGAGGAAAAGGAAGTTGGAATAGAGGCAGAAGTGTTTTTCTCCAACTAAACACAAATTGGCTTGGAGTATTATTAACCAAAAGTCTAGCAAGATGTTTGAAATGTGGAGAAAAAAAAAAAGATGCAAGCCTCCTTGTAAGAAGGCCCATGAATCTGATATTTGATATCTCTGATTAACACAGGGTAAGGAAAAGATCATGGTCATTGGCCACATGAGTTAACTGTTCATGATTTCCCAGCAACAGGATGGGGAGTTGGGGGTGTGGGGAGGAAGGAGAGGGAAAGGAAACCATTGAAATAATAAAAGGCAAGAAAGCAAATGTCCACGGAGATCAGCCCCATGGGGTCTGTACTCATGAAGGTATGGAGACTGGAGAAATAAGCTGGCACCAAGAGTTCACCTAATTTATCATTCTTGAAACAGTTTTGTTACCAATGAGACTTACATTCCCAGTCCTTCTAGCTGACTCGACAGTCTTATTAAATCACTAAGTAGGAGCAGGGGAAGGACTTGGCTTCTGCCACATAAAGTGATCACATAACTACTCAGCATTTGGTTCAGAACTGGGCTTATGCACAGCCAAACAGAGTTATCCCCGAGATTTATATATGAATGTAGATGAGAGCAGAATTTTCTTTCTTATGAATCAAAGTCCCTAGAATATAAACTGTGGCTGTTGGCAGCCATTTTTCCCACCATATGGAGAGTGTACCTACCAATAATGTCAATACACAGACAGCCAAGGTTTGGAGAAAGAAAAACAGTTGGATCCAGCCATGCCTGGAGCCAGTAAGATACATTTTAAACTCTCTAGTTAGGAGTTAATAAATTACCTTTATTGTTTAATGTAGAGTAAGCTGGGGTTTTGTTACAACAGAAAGAATTCTAAGTAATACATACTGAGTGGTTTAGGGGTCTGTACTACTAGAAGTTTCAGGGGCCTGTTCAAATTTGAAATGGTCTCATTCTTTCACCTGTGGTTGCTACAAAATCTTGCATCTCAGCAAAGCAAAACAAGGTGATAGGGGATCCACCCACAAAATCTGGTAAGAAATGGGAGGTTATGAGAAAAGACTAGTGATCACAGATGAAACTGCTTTTCTCTCCAAACAGCTATTTAAACTTTGGGTACCTTTAAAACTGTTAACATTAAGAAAGAAAATGTGAAGGCCAAATTATACAAAACAAGGACATTTAAAGTATTTCCTGGGGTCTCCCTGGTGGTGCAAGGGGTTGAGCACAGCACTGTGAAGCTATCCATAGCCTCTGTGGGGAGAGTTCCATCCCCAGGCAGGGAGCAACCCAAATGGCACAGCAGACCTCTCCTGACTCTCCAGCTGCTCCCCTCAGCAGTGTACTTCGGTCTATCTGACTGTTCTGTTCCCTGCTCTGTCTCTGGTGAATCCTCTTACCTCCCACACCTCTGGCCTATACCCAGTTCTTGTATGCATAAATAAATAAATCTTTAAAAAAATAAAGAATGTCCAATAAATATGTCAAAAAGTAACATAATGAAAGAAAAAGTAACAGTAAAATGAGACATAAATCTTTTTTTCCATCTCTATTACACATTGTTAGGCAAAACAGGAATTTTAAAAATAGCTAAGTGGGCTTTTTAAAAATATAGTTTGTTATGTGATTTTTGTTTGGCTTTTTAAGATTTATTTATTTGAATATAGTTTAAATATCATATTTTATATCATCTTTCTTTAAATCACCTAACCCTTTTTAATAAAGTTCAAGTAAGCTTCTAGCCAGTTATGTCTCATAGGAACCCCTCACTTGGAAGACAGGGAGATTTTCCAGCCAGGAAGACAGTGGAGCCTCCTGGCAGAGCCCCAGACCTCAGGCCTCAGACACATCATAATGCCTGACCAGCTCCAGATCCCAATCCAGAATCCTTATTCCTTTTTTCCTTTAACTTAATGTCTTAATGTCTATTAAACCAATGTGCTTTAATTCAATGTAGTTACTTTTTCTGCATGTGAATAAATCTGAAGGGTCATAATTATTTATTATAATATAGTTTCATTTTTAATTTACTGCCAGGGTTATCTAATTTGATAAGTGTAAAAACTCAGCAAAATTTTCACATCAGCCAATCACTGGGCACCCAAAGCCCAAAGTGACCATCCTTTTCCACAGGGATTCTGTGATGGCACACTGGAAAGCCTCTGGAGAGGGGAGGTTGGAATTCAGCACAAAGATTCTCCAGTGCCTCCTCAGCATATCTACACCCATTGCATGGGCCCCCTCACCCTGGGGCAGAACCCCAAGGAAAGGAGGAAAACAGTAAGTCTTTAAATAACTTGAGATTTGTGAGGGGATAAAGAAGGTTGCCTTGAGGTAAGTGCTGAAACAGTGGCATGTTAAATATCAGCATTAAACTGGTGTGATTAGGAGATCCTTGTTGAGTTCCACCCTCACATAGTGAACTGACTAGGTTTGGTTAATTCTAAAGCTGTTAAATGTTGGCCTCAGCTCCATATATTTAAAAAAAAAAAGTCTTCTCAAATCCCCTCATGCTCACTATTCCCATCCTCCTCAAAAGAAGTTTCTTTGCATTTTGACCTCTAGAGACTTCCTATGTAGATTTCTGTAAACCAAACAAAGTTTCCCTCTACCTGAACCTGACAACAACCTAACATTGTACCACCAAAATCTTGTAAATATTCAGTAAATATATGAGGGGTCTCCCCGATTATTCCTTTCTGTGTGCCTCCCTCCCCAAACATTCCAGTCTGCATATTCTTCTTTGGTCACTACGTGGGAGCTTATATGTAGATTCAAAATGCCTGGACAACCCATAACTGCTCCTGGCCACTCTAATCTCTCTCCTCTGGAGAGGTTGGTTACATGATTTCTAGAGCTATGGAGTTGGGAGAAACTTCAAATAGTTTCCAGTGTCTGCCATCACTCCTATCCCCACCCAAAACTCCTGGGGCTAGTGAAATCAATTTTATTAATAAAATCCTCCTCCCAGTAAAGTCCTCTTGCTAGCTTTTGGCATTCCCTCCAAGGCTAACGAGAAGGCTTTTACTAATCCTGGGTAAGTAAACAGGCTCTCAGTC